AGGTCACCTCCTCCAAAGTCGGTGCCGAGTCGGATTCCACAGTGAAAACGGGAGCAAAGGACTCGTTAAGTATAATGGTCATATCCTTATCGCTTGCAATCGACTCCCTCTTTTCGTTCATTAGCGGCCGGATCGACTGTTGACACCTACCACTAGCATACCGATAAAAAGCCTTAGCGTTCTTCTTAGCATCGCTATCCAGCCGTTCCTCGATCTCCCGTCTCGCAGATCTAATTTCCCGCTTCAACGTCCGCGTGATCCTCCTATATCCCTCATAGTCCGTGCTATCTCGCGTCCGCTTGTACGCATCCCATGTCCCATTTTTATCCCTGATGAGAACTTTGATTTTACCCGTGAACCAGTTGCCTGCCCGATTTCATGGATTTCTTGGATTCATGGTTCTTTCTCAGACTTGAATTTCAAATCATTTTGCATTTGCTGAAGTCACGATGTATTTTCCTTCTCCGTTCATTACTTCCTTTCGGGACAGTGTTTTGCACTTGCATGCAATTATCTGCTCATCAATCTGATGCTTTTCATAAACTAACGCTGCTCTAGAGTCAAAAAGGGATGTGTATGAATTGCATAAAAGTTGATCATCGCGAAAATATGAGCCACTCCAAGTCTCCATGGAATACAGGATCTCTTCTCGACATGTGGTTTTAACCACGTTAGACTAAAGGTGGCAAGAAACTTGCACGTGGAAAAGTTGGAAAAAAATTAAAGTTTTGCAAGCTATCAAGAGTAATATTTGTATACACCATTTCGAAGTTTTAGTGTGAAAAACCACGTTCAAAGATTTCATATTAGCTAAGCTAGTATCACTTAAGACTGAAGTTAATCATGATTTCAAAATTCTAGGCCACGGGAAATGCTGAGAGCCAGTGACACTTAACTGTAAAGATTCACTCAGGCCCGCCCAGAGGGGGGGTATCGGGGATCATCTGTCCCGGGCCTTGCGTATCAAGGGGTCCTAAGCGGGCCTCCAATGAGACCCAAAGCCAAGGTCCCAAAAGGGCCCATCAAGCCATCCCCCATCCATAGTGTCCTCCGGTTTAGTTTTTTTTTTTCCCCGGTCCTCTAGAAACCTCTGGGCGGGCCTGGGCTCACTGTTGCAAGGGATACAGACTCACGAATGAAGAGGAGTTCAAAGGTTCTGCACTTTCTCTTTAATGAAAGTGAATACTGTCAAGGACCTGCTTCCACCATGATGGATCTAAGCGGAGTCGGGTGAAACTGGATAATTTTTATATTGGTTTCTTCCAAGCTTATGGTACTCTTCGCAAAATTCAAGTAACATACATTTAAAGATCTTGCCTAAAACTGCCTCCTTCATATTCTTAAATTATTTTTCAAATAGGAGAGGAGTGGCTGTTTAACCAATAATCCAATTGCTAAATAATTATCTTTGCTGAAGCCAGTGGTGTGCCCAAGGGGCGTCACCCCCTTTGGGTAACATTTTTCAGGTTCGATTCTCACTTTTTTTAATTTGGACATAAATGCAGGGTGGGTTACCAATATTAAATGTCAACCCTTCCCATTGGGATTTTCTGGGCACGCTACTGAGCTACCATTAAAATACAATTTGGTGAAAATTCGCTAGTGACACACTAATAATCAACCACAAGTGCTAAGTGCAGTAATGTTGGACATAAATCATACCAATAGGCGGGTCGACATATAAGGCCGTCAAAACGACGATTATGTAAGCCAAGCGCATGTAATGTCAGGCAGTCAATTTGATGGCTAGTAGGCGGATGGGTTAAAGATTCGCGAAGCCCCCCCTCACATTTGTTTACTGGAGTGATTTTACTAATTCAGAATTCCACATGGTAGTCAATTAAGTTCATTTTTATATGGGAATGTCCCTCAACATTGCTCATATCTAAACTCCCCCCCCCCCCCCCCAATCTCTTTATTCAACTGACCAGACATATGCTTCACAGGCTTCAAATAAATTTTATGAGATCATGCGGAGTGAGTTCTAAACATGAAGAAAATCAAATCTGCACAAGATCTGAAGCAAACTTTATTTTTTTTTTGTACTCAAGTATCAAGACTAGGGTCATCAACAGGAGCCAAGAGAATGAAAATACTCAAGACAATCACATCGAACTCATCACTAGTGGATATGAAAAGTAGATCTGAGTACCAGTCGCCAAAAAGACTTTTTACTCATACACTGGGTATGACTGTAAAGGAAAATGGCTCTCATTTCTGACCATATTATCATTTTTCACCTTAGCCCTTCAAACTCCCTCAAAAAAGTTCATCACAAGTTTCCATTCCCAATAGTGTTTAGGTAATAGCAACATTCTTCAAAACATGGAGGAAGACTGGGTTACTACTCGTACTTCAATTGGGTCATTAGACCAACATTAGTTCATCAGATCTTAATCCTTTTCAAGCAAAAATTGTTTTGAGAATGGAAAATGACAATCAAAAAGTGTAGTGATAAAGGATAGTTAACAATCTCCATGGATGTATATTGTTTACTTATTGATTGATTCATTTTGAGGGCAAAATAGAAGAGTTTGTCACTAGAATCACCATGAGTCTTTGCACAATCAAGCAATACAGCCTTCTCATGGAATATCAAGTTTTCCCATAAAAGGTCATTGATGAATTACAGGGTGAAACTTTCCTTTTGCATCTGAAGCATCTTTCTTGGTTTTAAAACCAGTCATCTGCAGGCTCTGAGAGAGAATGATTAAATTCATTAGTTCAATGTTTCATTCATCTAAAGAATGAATGGGAACTGTTCAACCAAGTTATAGATCAAGAATCAATGAATGACAGCAAAAAATTATGTGAGATGATAGTAATCACTCCTAGGGCTTCACTGAACTAAGGACGACATGAAGTGATCTTTCCAATTGTATGCCTACTGCATTTCATGACCACACTATTGCATATTAAACACAGCTAGAGACAGAATTTTCAAGCAACCTGCAAAGCCAAGTCCAATGCAGAATATTTTTAAATGAGTTGCTTTCCCTTGGTCATGCCTGCAAGAGATGAGGAAAATAAGCAGATATCCAAAAAAGCACCTTGACACAAAACACAAATATAACTAATTCCATGTTGAAGTCAATTCCTAAACACAATGTAGTCCCTCATGCCATTCCTGCAGGAGCAGGATGTCTTTTTATATGCAACCTGATAACATTGCTTCATTCCTCAGCAGCAACCTTTCCATACTGGTATGGAATCTAAATTCCATTACTCTGCATTATCAGAGTAAGTGATTACAGATGGGCCTTTCCACTCACACCATTAAAAGTAGCATGGTTGTAAAAGTTGTGACAAGGTAGAAGATAATTGAGTTATTACAACCACCAGCTGCAGAAATACCTCTGAAGTGATGCCTAAAGAGGGTGGGTGACATTAAATTCTTGAAAAACAGCAGCATGGCGATGAAACTAAATTAAAAGTTTATGAAACAGAAAGTGCTGTCTCAGAACCAAAATGAATGGCTGCTTCACATTCTCATTGATTATCAACTGTATCTTCATCCAGTAAATCAATCAAGATTATTATGAGGTATAACAGGACCAAAAGAAATCACACTTGCTTCCAACCTTGAAAACAACCAAGACACCAACCTGAAATTCCCATTTAAAGAATATTCAATTCACCCTAAAGAATCAGTGCAGCTTAATAAACAAGCCAGTAATTCAATTATAATTTTTTTTGGGTGGACATGTGTAAAAGGGTAGAATGTAGAGCTCTGATTAAGATGAATTATTGAGACTAAGAGTGGTATACAGCATGCATTCAAGCAAAGATGAAGGTAGTGAGATAAATATTCAGACTTTGTGCAACAATCACAAACCAGAGTCTTCCAAGGTAACTCTCTCATCTGTATCTCCACAGAAGTACTCTCATGGAGAAATAATTAAGGAGCAAGGACAAGGTAGTGATATGCATATTCATGGATGACGCTTGGGAGATGGTGCCAACACTTCATCCACATCTGGCATTGAGCCTTCAATGGGGACAAAGTCCCCAAAATCTGAGCTGCTGCTGCTTTCCTCCTCATCTCTCCTATTATCCAGATCTGCCAAGGCCTCTTCTGAACAGCATGAGAGAGAAGAAACAATCTATAACTTCACTGCTGAGAGTAAGGAGAGAAAATGAGTCAGGTTAAGGATATCCCTTCAGGTAGAACAGAAAATAGGAATCAAGTAGGGAACTAGGGAATACATACAGTTACAGAAATCTCCTTTTTGTTGTAAATGGGAAGCATTATGGAGAAATAACTGAAGTGCATAAATGCAACATCTATACCAGGAGTCTCAAACTCATTTTGGTTCATGGGCCACATTGCCAAGATCAAACTACTCTGAAGGCCAAAGTGTAAAATCATAAAATGAATAATTTACCATTTCCTTATATTGCGTATTTTGGGCATGAAACATTTCTCTCACATTGTCTGCAGGTGGATTGCAGGCTACATTGAGAGAATTTGTGGGCCAAAAGTTTGAGACCCTTGATCTATACACCCAACTGAAACTTTCTGAAACTCCAATGGTATTAGTTGCAAAGTGAGAAATTGATGTCAGGTTTCTGCTTTGCATCATTCTCATGCTCTAGGATAGTTATTCTGCAGTAAGCCTTAACACATGGAGACAATAACCATTTTTATTGAAGCATAACCTAAGTGTTGGGCAGCCATTCCTCCACAGAATGTAATAAGTAGTCAAGTGGAGATAGTCAGAATCATTTTTACAAATCATGATATATTGTTACCATGAGCGCTTTACTCACAGATATGTTTAATAATTTTCAATAAAAGTATAACATTCTTAAAATTGAAAGCTGGGCATAAAGCTTGCTGAATGAGAAGCCACCCACTTACATGGCTACATATAGTGTGCACTGGAATCAGCTTTTCACTTTCTTCAGTAATCAGCTCTTATAGATCCAGTGAAATAGCCAAATTAATAGTATAATTAAACAGCTCTCTTGAAGTACCAGAAAGAATTACCGACATATTCAAAACAAACAGAGAAAAAGAGTTTTGAAAGATGCAGAGCCTCACCAATGCATTCATGGACATAAGCAGAGCTGGATGGGACAGGAAGAGTGGGACTGAGATGGTCCCCATTCCCTTCTACTTTCTCATCTTCATCTTCATTGTCTGAGACTTCAGGCAGGGCAGCCTTCTCAAGGATCCTCAAGTCCTCTTGACTTGTCTTCCACAGGAACTCACCAATTTCCTTCTGCACTGATTCCTCCTCACTCCAACCCAGTTCCAGGAGGGAATTTGGCACTTCTTAAAAACAACATTTAATGGAAGTTTCATGATATAGAACTAGAATATATCATGTGAAGCTTCTGGAGACATTCCTTTTTAAAATAATAATTCCCTCTTTGTAAAATATTTACAAAAACTTCAAACTGCAGGAATCCTAATTTTTCTTGCTTCCTGCATATTGTCTACATAAGAAAAGAGAATGTGACTAAATCACACTGACACATGATTTTGACAATTTCCATAAATCTACAATGGCTGAAACATGAGTGGTATGATTCCATAAAAAAAACTGCCATTATTAAGAAACAGCAACAGAATCTTTGCCCTAAACAAATGATGTGCATACAAACTCCATTTCTTCATGGTTTATTTGGATGAGAATCAGAGAAGTGAGCACTTTTTTCAGCTTAAAAAAGTATGCTCTAATGTTTCATTCCTATCTCTGTCAGTCCCATTCTCATTCTCAAAAGAACACTGTACAGTGAACAGACTGATTACATACCCACTCTGATGCAGATTATTGGTCAAAGCCAAGACAGATCTTACATGAAACTGAAGTTCTAAAGTTGTACCTTAGATCTTGAACCTTAACTTTCAAAGTCATTCAGGCTGGAAGACCTTGAACAGCAGGCTGTTCAAGGCAATAAGAGCAAGATAGACAGACTGTGTAAAGTTGCTGGACTTATTAAACCCCTTTACTGAGTTAGATGTCTTGTGACGTCTCCCATAGGTTAAAATGTACTTGATGAAAAACTTCCCAGTGAAAGGGTGAAGGCTACTTCACAAAAAACAATTCTTGGTTTAATATGCAGGGCAATTCAGCATCTCGTTATATGCTTGGAACACTCTATGTGGAGGAATTGACATTCCTCCACATAGAGTGAAATGAAAAAATGATCTATGGTTCACCTGATTGAGAATTTTTACCTTGAGATTGTAATGCTCCATTTTCCATTCTACAGGTTGTAAAAACTATGAATTGAATGATCTTCTATGAGGAATCCCTAAATATCCTATTTGCAAATGGAAAATAAATGATTTCCTAAAAATGGAAATTTAACATACCATTTGCACCAACATTATGTGCTGGTTAGTTAGTGTTCTTATGGAACCTCTCCAGCCCAACACCCTGACAATCTCAAGAACCACGAGTTTCTTCCATTTCCACTCTAAACCAGAATTCATGCTCATTCAGAAATATTCATGAATGGTTCTCAATCAAAGCCAAATGCAACAACCAATCTGACCCACTTTTGTTTCATGCTGAAAATTTTTCCACTTTCATTTATACAATCTACAAAGCTCAAAATAAAACTGACTAATTTCCATTTTCAAAATTGAGACTTTGAATCACATGGAAAGATAAAAAATTTTTTCCCCACAAAACTGAAAATCAGAAATCAAAAGTTAAATCATGAGTCATCAACTACATAGGATAACAGTAGAAAAATGAAAGTTTCTCCTGTCACTTGTGCATTTAAACAGAATGAAGATGAAGCCATGCATAGAAACGTCTTTTTTTTTTTTACACTTTTTCACTGATTATGGCCTAATTTCTCTCAGGAACTCCACTGATTCTGCTCTCTTTTCTTTAATGTGCAGGTGAGTGATGGCTGAACACTTTGATGAAAGTTTGAATGAACTGTTGCAATTTAAACTAGAAGTAAAAGTTGTTTCACTGATGGGGTTGATGAGTGCCCCATTCACGAGTAAGGACATCTCAGGACACATTCTCAATCTTCATAGAGGTTCCTTCTTTACTATTGGAAGGCTCTGGGAGAAGTTCCAGGAAGTGTGCTAGATCACCTTCATCTTGGAATGCCTCAAGCATCTCCCCACCCTTAGTATACCTATGGATTTTTATCTGTGGTGTCATTTGAAGCACATTTGAAGTGTACTCAAGCACATTGAAAAAGACATTAGAAATAATTATAACTAAGCACACTTCCTGTTGCATGAAACCTTCTGATTATCAATCTTGGATTAGAGGCTCCCCTGTCACAATTTGTGTCTGGAAATGTCTTACCCCTTCAGTGGGGCTCTCTTGTACATACATCCAAAAAGCAATTTTCATTACTTTTAGATTTTGGTGGGACATTGTAATCACTTACATCTCAGTTCTCAGTCATCACTCACCTGCAAATGGAAGAAAAGAGAGCAGAATTAGTGGAGTTCTTGGGAGGAACTGGGCCATAATCAGGGACAAGTAGAATTTTCTGTAAGTGGTTCCATGTTTTTTTCTTTTCAAAAAGAGCAAATGAATTGGAAATAAAACTTTTCCTTTTTACTATCACCCTGCAAAGTTTCAATTTACAGCTTAAGTATTTTTAAAATACATTTTGATTTTTGGTAACAAACCTAGTGCCCACCCTGTATACCAATAACTCAACAGTCAGAAAATATATTGATGAAGGAGAAATGGAACATACCAAGGCCAAAAATTCCAAAGATGGCATTTAAAATTCGCTTCCTGTGTCTGATGAGGCCTGGGATGGTGAAAATACTTATCACCAGCATCTGAATAAGATGCCAATCACTCATCATCAGACCAAGAGAAAATGGCACCAGAAGAGAGGATATCACCAATGCTGCAAACTGATCCAAGTAAAACCAAAACAAGACAATCAGACCAACAAATAATACAAATGCCTCCCTGCTCAACTTAAGTTATTATGTCATTTTGACACATTCAGTTTCCCTCTCGGTTGAATGCAGCCATTTCCATTCTCAGAACTGCAATTGGCATTGGGGTGAGAATTCAAGATAGGCAAGAGAGAAGTGAGAATGGTTGGAGTCATGGAACAAAACTCACCATGTGGGGTTGTTCAAAACGAACTGTTAGAAGCCAGTCAGCTGTGTCAAGTATCCACATTCTCCAGTTTGAGAGCTTCTCACTGATTTCAGGTGCAGACAGGGTCCTATAATAAAAAAATGCAGACAAACCATTTACAATAGAAGATGGGCTCATACAGTCACTTCCCATACTTTCAATGGGTAAAATGGTCAAGAGGACCAATACAATGGGTATTTCTAGAAACCAAAATTCTACTCAGATCAGGAATGTGATATAGAGTTTACACAGAAGTGAAGAGTTCTCCTGCCTATCAATACCAAATGGCTGCTTCCAGTTCTCTCAAGTGCAAAGTAACAATATAAAATGATTGATATAGTACTTGAATGCTGAAAAGAACAATTGTCTCAAGCAAAATCAAAACATGTCAAATCACTCATTTGAAAGTCCATGCCATAAATTTGATTGTAAATTTAAGAGTCACTTTTTATGAAGTGGACACACTATGGATTCAACAATAATAGGCAGACTTGAAATCAGGAAATTTCCATAATAATTTATTCCCTATAATGAATGACTGCAAAATCTAGGGAAAAAAAAAACCTTTTTTTTTGCAAACTATGTTTGATAATCAAGGTTTAACCCTTTCACTGTTCCACAAAAAAATATCCACCACCATGTTATAAAATTGGGACTGTCTATCTGAAAACAATAGTTTATGTTTAAAATGTTTGCTATTGAAGAGAGCAGTTACATTCATTAACAGCGGTGAAATAACCTAGAAACAGTGAATAGTCAGAGCCTGGATATATATTTGGGCTACCACCACACCAGCAGTGCACATGACCTGAATATGTATTTGGACAAACAGTGAATGGAATAAATTGGTAAAGTACCCCTAGATGGTAATAGGCAGGGTATTTGCATATCTCAGCCACTGCTAGTATTCAAACTTTTTTCCTTATATGCTTCTACAACATATTAATAAAACCTCTGTTCAAGGTTATCCATGGAACCTGTATATAGCAGATCTATAGGGGCTATTAAAGTCAGCCGTTTTGCTGAAATCTTTTATCTAGGCACCCTTACACCTTATAGCTACACCAAGATGCAGAGATGAAAGTGGTATCAAATGAAAGCTTTCACTAAGGAATATACAAGCATAATAGTTTCACCATGGTGCCTTTTGTGGTCAAAAGTTATTATGGCTAAAACTTTGAAAACTTCAAAGTTGGTCTTGTTTGCCCCATGAAAGATCAGTACTACACCTAGATAAAAAAATATAAATTTACTCTCATTTGAAAGATTTACATGTTCTCTTCAAAGCAACAGATGAACTTCCATATGATTCTGAAAACTGATTTTAACTGAATTTTATCATTTCAAGAATTGGCTGTAAGACTTCATTATAAATTTTACTTTTTAGCTATTTGGTTTATTTATTCCCAAAAATCAATTAAATACAAGTTGTAGACTTTGCATTAAAAGTTTCAATCCAGCCAAAATTTAAATTGGCAAGGTAGTTACTATGTGGAAGGCAAGTGATGAACATATTGTGGTTGCAAAGGAAGATGACACAGGGCAGTATAAGTAAGAAGGTGGATATATCAGGTCCCTGTGTAAGACAAATCTTGGGAGATGAACACATGGATTTATAGACAGCACCTTTTATACCTCATCAATGTGAAGTACTTGCCATAAAAATGAACAATTATCCAAGATTCATATATATGCATATGAAACGATCATATATGGTAGTTATATACAATTATCTATGCCTTATAAATTCAAATATTTTTCATACATTGAAATATGAACACACATAAGGGCATATATGGTTGAAGCACATGATCCAATATAAGAATTACTCATATATTAAACATACCTATATATATTCTACATAAAATAATTCTGTGGTTTGAGGGATGGGCTCCTGCATATATGATGTATCTGGTTTCAGTATGTGATTTTTATAAAGGACTTTTACTGATAGCATATACATGTTCAGCGTGTCTGCTTTCATGTAAAAAAATATAATGCTAGAAATATATATCCAAAATGCATAAGGTGCAGTATACAATTAATATGGTATGGTCATACCAACATAGCATGGTGACAACCCAGGGATGTCTACAACTGGACATTTCTCATAAAATCATGATTTTTTTGCATGGGTAATGTTTTATTATAGGCCTATACTCATTTTAATTTTATGGTAAGTAGTGAAACAAGAAAGTTCCAAAAAAAAAGGAACTTCCCACATGCTAGAGTATGCAAAGGATAGGAATTTGTACATTGTTAAAAGGTTAGGAAAACACACCCTCTCTCTACAGGAGTCCAGTCTTCCTCCATTCTCTCAGCAATTTCTTGTGCAGTCAGTGGGATTCGAAGTGTTGGCCAAACTACATTCATAATGACTCTGTACAAGTAAAGGATGAGCACCATCTGAAAAAAGGCTCCAAGGGGGCGAAACCCAGACAGGAACCTTGGAAAAGTAATTCAGATAGTTTTCAAATGCTCAATCTCAGGTGAACAAAAAAAAAAGAATGTTTCTGGGCAATACAAACAAACTGAAGACCTTACCAAAGGCCTCCAATCACACCTCCTAGAGCACCAGCACTCAGCAAGGGACTGTCCCACAGAATGATAGTCTGAAGCATGACCAACTTGGCTTCATGTCTATTCAACAATGATGTTAGGGACAAGTCCTCTTCCTCACCCAACACATCTCTGTTGCCATGTATACTTCGTGCACTAGTTCTTTGGCTCTCATCAAGCAGGTAACTTGGGAAGACTGCAGATAAAAATCTATTCAGCACTGATGGTGCCATGACTTTTGATCACTGGCAAAGCCAGTGAAAGCCTCCTCTTCAGCAAACTACACAAGGAAATTTTCTCACCTACAAGCAAGATATACAAAACAATTTCTTCTTAGTTCAAAACACATTTTTCAGCTAACTTGGCTGAAATACAGGATGTTTCATCAATCATAATTTATTTTTGAAATGCTACATGCAAAAGTACTTTCACTTAGCATGCAATAAAATGAGAATGCGACTTTCACTCATAAAAGCCACTGATTTTCATGCAACATACCAACATAATGCCAATGGTGCATTTCCACTCATATCCTCCTCTGTTCATTTAATGTTTCTTCTTGAGCTCAAAGTCTATACAAGCCAAAAAGTACACTAACAACATTGCTGATATTGACAACATTTGCCCCAATGAAGAACAGCTTATGCACAATATATCAAACAATTTTGAACTACTTTTATTAATGTGCATGTTATTTATATGGTGCATCAAAGGAAGGGAAAACTTCCCAAGAAATAAGTGACATGTCGCAAATAGTGCAAAAGGGTAAAGACTGCATAAATTAATTAGCAAATGCAGCCTACCTGAATTCTAAGCAGAATGTAGCTGAGAAACAAATGTATACCCAGAAAAGACTAAGTGACAAAGACAAGTTCTTTTTGAAAAGATACTGAATATCTTTCTGGCTGGACAGAGTAGGTCCTAGTCTAGGCTGCTCCAGGGCAATGTAGCTGAAGTTGAAACCCTTTTTTCCCATTGTTTTATTGATGTATCCAGTTAAGGATGCATTATGTCAAAAATATCAAGACAATGATACTATATTACAGAACCCACTAAAAATGCAATGAGATGGAACAAGAGTAAAGCATTCCAGAATTAGGCTCCAAACTGGCATAGCAAACTTACTTTCAATTCTGTCTTAGGCTTAGAGCAGTGCTAGCTAGGCCCTTTTAGGCAGAGGTAGAACAATAAATTAAGTCTAGTCCTAGTGAGGGTTGAGCTTTTACTTCAACGGTGATGAGAACACTGAACGGCCTGGAGGCTGGAATGAGGGCAGAAGCATTGATGAGTCTGATGAGACACCCTCCCGATCGTTGAGGCTTTGGTCCATGCAATATTACTCGTTCCTCCCTACGTAACGATTGCGTTTCGGGCAAGCCCATGAAGTTAGGCTATGACAGAAGTCTCTAGGCCAAGGCCGCAGTAGTCTCAAGAGCAACGCCGACTACGTCTAACCTCAGGGTCATCACGATTCATGGCTCTGATTTATATCTATATTATATACGTTGCACAGTGACCTAAGAATGAATGCACCCTACTGGTTATTATTAACGCAAGCAACAGGGAGGATGCATTCTACAGAAATTGGCGAGTCTGGCGATTAGCCATGACTCTGACGCTCTCTATTGGTCGGTCGGATGAGGCGAGGCCTGACGCCTTTTACTTTGTAAATTGCCGTTCAGCGAGCTGCATTACCACATTCCCAGAGTGGAGCAAAGTTCGCAACAATGCTACCTGCACAATCAGTCGGTAGCAGTATAATTATCCCTAAGTTTGACAAATATTGCCTCTTGGCAATTCTGAACCTGTTTTATCTTCGGGCGAGCAGTGGGATGAGAGATTCATCTGAATCTCAATGAACAAATTCATATCCAACCAGAAGGTTAAGGTAGTAATCTATGACATGATGACAGTTCACACTGACAGTTATCTGTCAATGTAAACTGCCATCATCTTTCCATGTCTGGAATGTCAGTTCTGTTTGAAAAACCTTGCTTGTTTGAGCCAGAAGACCTACTCTTTTTTTATTTTAAACCGTGCAGCGTCAGACCTATAATTTTTTATTTGAAGCAATGATTGAGTGGCGCATACAGATTGCAATGTTACCTGTCGGGATCAATCTAATAGAATCCACGACATCGGCGGAAGCAATTGGAGGCATATATTTTCCATTGCAAAATGACAATGTTCTCACATAAGTGAGGAAAACGGTATGTTGGCGTAAGTATTGTTAGAAGAGGAAACAATATCGAATACAGAGGGATACATATGCAAAATTTAATGACTCAATATTCAGCAGTTTCTTTGATAGCGAGTCCACAGAAGAAAAAAAAAACTAGAGAAAGTGCCATGTAGCGAAAAATCTCTCAGCAATAAAATCACATTAGCCAGAAAATTGGCATTCAGATTTACTATTTAAAAAAAAGTGGCGTAGATAACACAGAGCACTAACGCACGTAGTGGTAACATGATCTGGAGTTGGATATCACATAGCAACGAAAACAAAGCACAGACTCAAAAGGAATAAAATATTCATTGAATCAAAAACACGTAGCTAAATGATGGGGTAGCATCTTAAACCAAAGCACCAAAACTCCCTACCATCGCATCACGTGGCATCATAATGACATCATGCAGTGGAGTTGAGCGACACTTAACACTCTATTGCAAATTACAGATAGTTTTCTTGAAATATAAATGCAACTAATATCTTTGGACTTGAAGAATAATGGAAAAAGTCCGTCCTGAAATCGAATCATAGTATCAATAAATAAAAAAGTTCCTCTCCCTTGTTCTCGGATAGCAACCGAGTACAAAAGCCATCAAGGGCGAAATGCGAGGGCCCCACCCTCGCATTGATAGATCAACATTTTCTAAGACCAAGGTACTTTCAGTTGAAATATACCACTCTAAATCTTCTGAGAAAACCGATGTCTTTGATAGTAACGTCTGAAAAAAGGGTCAGAGGGCCTCCACCTTCTCAGCAGCTGAAAAATCCACGTAAAGTTCGATTCCTTATGGGTTAGAAAATTTATCAAGATATCATTAATACCCTTCAGCAAAACCTATGCAAACAAATCGGAGAAAGGTCATAGAAGTTATCTTTAATAGTGAAAAAAAAATTGGAAAAACACCATCAAAGTCATCTAACATTCTCATGAGAAAAGTAAGATGGGTGCATTGCGATTGAGAGACCATCCGGCTCAGAACTCTTGCATCGCCAAAACGGGTTAGTACTTGGAATGCCGCTTCCACGACCGCCGACAGCGTAATAGGAAGGTGCTTGCGGCTTGACACTTTGGACAGAGTCTTCAGAAGAGGCCCTTACGGCTAATGAGAGAAGGAAGAGAGAAGCGCCACTGCCGTTTAAAAAAAACAGGCATAAGCTTGGGAACTAAAGTACTGGTTACACAAAGCAAAGCTGATGATATGGTGATGAGGTGGCAGGGGTGTGCTCAAGTCCTTCCATGTAAAATGGTGAGATTCGAAACTTTTTTTAGTCTCGGCATTCTTGGTCAAACCTTCCCGGAATGCCGACCAATGGCCAATTTCAATTACATTTTGATGACTAAAGTTTTAAAGTTTTTAGTACTTTAAAGTTTAAAGTTAAAGTAAAAGAAGCATTTACTTACTTTCTTAGCCGACACATCTCCAAAAGGTATGATGAATTTCTGTTTTATTGAGATATCAAATAACAATTTTATGAATTACACATCACATGGTAATCTGCAATTTTTTCACTTTGGCATGCCACGACCATATAGTTTCGTCGCTGAGTCCATGAAGTGAAAAACTGTAATTGCACGCCTGGTCAACTTGTCCTCTAATTTGTGAAGAGCTTCTTCTCTGATGCGACCTCGAGTGATTTTTTTGCGGGTTTGGAAAGTTCTCTCGCATGCATGGGCGATTCCGATTTCGTTGACTGCTTGCTCCTCCTTCATCCAGGCAAGAACTTCGTATATATTTGGATGTGACTTCGCTATCACACGATTCACCTATAAAAAGGAAAAGATCGGTGCAGAGTTGCATCCATTGGTGAAGGAACTTTTGGTGAACTCGCTCACTTTTGCATGCCATGCTTCAGCTGAATTAGTCATGCGAGGTCCGCTCCTCCCGAAGTGATTTCACAAGTGTCTGCTGAAGCAGGGTGTGATATCATCCATCCATGTCTCACATATGTAGTCATGCAGGGCACGCCGTTTTCCNAGGAAAAAAAAAACTAGAGAAAGTGCCATGTAGCGAAAAATCTCTCAGCAATAAAATCACATTAGCCAGAAAATTGGCATTCAGATTTACTATTTAAAAAAAAGTGGCGTAGATAACACAGAGCACTAACGCACGTAGTGGTAACATGATCTGGAGTTGGATATCACATAGCAACGAAAACAAAGCACAGACTCAAAAGGAATAAAATATTCATTGAATCAAAAACACGTAGCTAAATGATGGGGTAGCATCTTAAACCAAAGCACCAAAACTCCCTACCATCGCATCACGTGGCATCATAATGACATCATGCAGTGGAGTTGAGCGACACTTAACACTCTATTGCAAATTACAGATAGTTTTCTTGAAATATAAATGCAACTAATATCTTTGGACTTGAAGAATAATGGAAAAAGTCCGTCCTGAAATCGAATCATAGTATCAATAAATAAAAAAGTTCCTCTCCCTTGTTCTCGGATAGCAACCGAGTACAAAAGCCATCAAGGGCGAAATGCGAGGGCCCCACCCTCGCATTGATAGATCAACATTTTCTAAGACCAAGGTACTTTCAGTTGAAATATACCACTCTAAATCTTCTGAGAAAACCGATGTCTTTGATAGTAACGTCTGAAAAAAGGGTCAGAGGGCCTCCACCTTCTCAGCAGCTGAAAAATCCACGTAAAGTTCGATTCCTTATGGGTTAGAAAATTTATCAAGATATCATTAATACCCTTCAGCAAAACCTATGCAAACAAATCGGAGAAAGGTCATAGAAGTTATCTTTAATAGTGAAAAAAAAATTGGAAAAACACCATCAAAGTCATCTAACATTCTCATGAGAAAAGTAAGATGGGTGCATTGCGATTGAGAGACCATCCGGCTCAGAACTCTTGCATCGCCAAAACGGGTTAGTACTTGGAATGCCGCTTCCACGACCGCCGACAGGCATTATCCTTCCACGAACGCCGAACTGTGAAACCTGTCTCAGAAGTCTTCTCCGGGAATGCCGATTACTCTCTTCCTTCTCTCTTCCGCCACTGCCGAAATTTTTTTTGTCCGTATTCGAACCCTTGATTTCATGACCAATGTGTTTCGTTTCGACTACTATACCACTACTCCACCGTCCCCACACGAGTTCAGGAAGGTACATTTTACCACTCTAAGCTTTGACTTTTTAGTCTCGGCATTCTTGGTCAAACCTTCCCGGAATGCCGACCAATGGCCAATTTCAATTACATTTTGATGACTAAAGTTTTAAGTTAAAGTAAAAGAAGCATTTACTTGCTTTCTTAGCCGACACATCTCCAAAAGGTATGATGAATTTCTGTTTTATTGAGATATCAAATAATTTTATGAATTACACATCACATGGTAATCCGCAATTTTTTTCACTTTGGCATGGCCTCGACCATATAGTTTCGTCGCTGAGTCGATGAATGTAATGCTGAGTCGATGTAATTGCAAGCCTGGTCAACTTGTCCTCTAATTTGTGAAGAGCTTCTTCTCTGATGCGACCTCGAGTGATTTCTTTGCAGGTTTGGAAAGTTCTCTCGCATGCATGGGCCATTCCGATTTCGTTGACTGCTTGCTCCTCCTTCATGCAGGCAAGAACTTCGTATATATTTGGATGTGACTTCGCTATCACACGATTCACCTATAAAAAGGAAAAGATCGGTACAGAGAGTTGCATCCATTGATGAAGAAACTTTTGGTGAACTCGCTCACTTTTGCATGCCATGCTTCTTATCACACGATTCACCTATAAAAAGGAAAAGATCGGTGCAGAGAGTTGCATCCATTGATGAAGAAACTTTTGGTGAACTCGCTCACTTTTGCATGCCATGCTTCAGCTGAATTAGTCGTGCGAGGTCCGCTCCTCCCGAAGTGATTCCACAAGTGTCTGCTGAAGCAGGGTGTGATATCATCCATCCATGTCTCACATATGTAGTCATGCAGGGCACGCCATTTTCCTGCTGGAACGACATTTGGACTTTGTTCCATGATCCACATGAAAGCGTCGTCCAGATGTTCTAGGGGGACCAGCGGTAGTGCCATCAAACGCTTTACCCATTTCGAGACTTCATCATTTTTGCTGAATGACGGCTGAAGTCCTAATTCTTGGCATTTCCGCCAGATCGCCTGCCGAAAGTGGAAGAGACAACCTTTGATCTGTACCCCAGGAAAGAGGCTGCTGAGGGAGGCAATAGGGGCTTGCTCGAAGTCCACCAATATGCATCCTTGAATGACATTGCTGATGCCGTGGCTTTCAGCGATGGTTTTGAGAATAGAAAAGAAAGCATCATAGGTCTTCCTGGTCTTGTTGGGGAGTAGACCGTAAATTAGAGGAAAAACTTGCTCTCCTACAGTCCCATGAATGACGTACAGCTGGTAGAATATACGAGGAGCAACCCTGAAAGTCCCATCCATGACGATCACATTAGATTTGGAGAGCTTTGCCACGTTTTCCGCAGTTCCCAGCATCACTATTCCAGACTCTTCTCCTTCGTTATGGTGCAGTAGAAACGGCCTGCCGTCGACCGTTGTGGTCCATTCCCCCCGCAGCTGCAGTGTTGCCTTGCTCTTTGGATTCCTCGGGAAAGATGCTTGTCTTGCGCCGTAAGCCCCAGACTTCACCGATGAGAAAGATGGAACCAGATCAAATGAAATACCATCGGCCACAGCTGCAACAAGTTCTTGTCGGTATATGCCAGGAACAGGAGCCAGCTCGGACGCTGCTCTTTCCCTGATTTTGCGGCTGAAGCACTTTCGCCGCATTTCAGCCACTCTAGACTCATGATTGTGCATTCCTCTTTCAAGTAGGACTCGAGTGCTGCTCCAGTTCGTTGCAACCCTTGCTGGGCAGCCAACTGAAATTGTAGCATGAGACGTAAAAGTAACGAAACGAAGGGGGTCAAATATATAAGAATCAAGAGAGAACGTTGATCGCCAGGAAGTGAAATTAGTGACATGCGCCATTCCTGCCTGTTAAAAATTTTGCACTTAGTCTAGAAAACGAAGTCTAAGTCTAGAAACAGTCTTCTCCACAAAGTTAGCATCTCTCAAAAGAATGATCAGTTTCAGTCATAGAACTACACACTAGGTTATATTGAAAAGGTTCTTTTGGTATGCAGAATCTACCCAAGAGTTGTATGTGGAGCATTGGACTTACCTTCATTGCATTTCCAATAGCGCTTCCGTCTCTCCTTCTTCTCAGACCGAAATACGTGCTGGTTAACGATGAGGTTTTCACCTCCTCGAGGATCCCGTTCCAGTCTACAAGAAGCCTCCTCAGCCATGTTCGTCGTTTATCCAAGACCGTTCCATTTTATACGCTCGCCGAAGAAAACTTGCCGGAAGTGTTAGATGAGGGGGATGGAGATTGTAACGAAAAAGCATTTTTTGTGTGTCGGCATTCAAGGAAAATGCCCCAAAGGGGCGTCCTTTTCCGCCGACCTGTCCCTTAATGCCGAATTTCGACTCGGCATTCCCGAAATCATCCAAAGTGGAGAGATATTTCTCATCGTCCCAGTCGGCATTCGCGGACAAGGCTCAATCGGCATTCCCGGACAAGTGTAAAATCGGCATACACGGAAGACAGAAAGTTCGGCATTCCAGGAGCTTCCCCATTTTTGCTAGGGCGTGCTTGTTGGATGGGTGAAATGAAGTCTAAGGTCTCCCGCATAAATGACTTATTAGGCATTTTAATTCATTTATTTCAGTTGTTAAATTTTGTAATTCCTACTTTTGAAATTCGTACCTTCTGTACCTGAGTGGAACTACACGAGTAGTATAGAGCTGTCATACAGTATGAAAGTATGGGTACGCCCAACTGCATGATGTGCGGGAGGCCGACATGTACTTCAATACGCTCTACAACGCTACGTGCGGGAGAGTATTACAGAGATAAATAACAGATCTAACTTCCAAAGTCAAGGAGTTCTTCTCTTGAACAGTTTTAACCAATTCCTGCTGCTGTGAAGGACCCAGTTTTGGATTCCGATGGCCCTTCCGCCTTCTCAGATGTTTGGCATTTCCTTGCCACAGATATCCTTGGCAACCCCAAATGCCTTGATATCTTTCGATATCCTTGACCCTCCCGATGACCATTCTGATGAATAACTGGCGTAAATCATCAGAAATGCCCCGATAATTTCCGAAGACAGAAAACCATTTTAAGAATTAAGACTAACATCTTTAGAAGTGTATATTATCATTCTATTTTTATATTAACTTCACCCGTTATGTTTGCCAGATAATAAAAGCTAATTTCCTTCTCTGTGACACATTCCAAAATCGCAAATTACCACTGCCCATCATAATCGTGCGGAGCAGTAGCTTAACATCTAGCGGATCATCTGGAAAGCTTGCGTTTTCTCCGTTCCTCACAATAGGGGGTACCAATTCAATCCGAAATCAGTGTATGTCATTACATAATCAACGTTCGGACAAGCGAGTGTCTATGTTGTATTTCAGTCCGTCTTACCCCATGGTCGAGTTTCAAAAAAGTGAACTTCCCTTTGCACAGGTCTCAATAGATCCAACGTGAATACCTTAGGATACATGCATCAAACACTCACGACTTTCCCGAGTGAAGGCGGCCTCAACGACGGTCGAACAGCATTCCTCCCTGTTCGTTCGACTTCCCTCGAAGTGGGTCAGACTTCTCCGACCATCAATTGAGGAGTTCTCTGGAAAAAGGGCGTATGTGTCCATACGGACGTATGGGCACATACGCCCTTTTTCCAGAGAACTCCTCAATTACTGTGGATAAGATTCTCCCACACTGCGGTGTTTTGAGTCGGCGGCACGCTCCACTTGAAACGAATGAATGTCAGAGACAGGTCTTGTGGCCTGAGGTGAAAATTGAATACGGATCCATGTGAGTCACATACATAGGTGACATTTGCACCGCTTTCATAGCGGATTGTTATTTTGGTCAGAGATGCAATAACGCAAAGAAATTCACTAAATCTGTACGTGTCTATAGTTTAAGACTATATGACTATGTGACTAAGGAAACAAAAAAACTGCTTGAACTACAAAAATGAGTAGTGTTTGACTAATGAAAGGAAATCCAGGATAGGGGCGAGGTCTCTGCAAAACTACACCAGCACTTTCTTGCATCATCAAAGACGGAAAATTTTTTAAACATCCACTCATGGAAGTCAGTAAAAACCAAGTCATGTCAGCCATCAAATACTTATGATTTTTATGCACAGATTACAAATGTGAATCGCTTCCTCCTCCACACCTTGTACTCGACAAATGCATCAGACTTGTCTTCATTCCATTCCTATGGTATGATGATGGGAAGATTGACAATGACAAGAGAGGCTTGGCAATGATGTATCTTAGACCTTCCTGTGCCAAAGGCA